CCGGCCAACGTGGGTGCAGAGGCGGGGAGGACTGGGCCCCTCGGAAGCCCGGCCGCTGCTGCACTGCGTCGGTCCCCACCGCCACAACGAGGCTTCCGGGAGGAAAGTGCTGGGGGGTCGGAAGCATCCCCGTCTCCCTCTCCCTCTTGCCCTTGAGCTGCCTGGCGGTGATTCTAAGCCTCTGCCTGCCCCCCCCCCCACACACACACACGCCGGGGCACCCTGGGTCCCCGAAGGAAAGGGGAGGGCGATCCAGAGCCTCCTGGCTTCCAGGGCCCCCACCTCGGGAGACTGCGGTGGCTCAAGTGGTCAAGACGCTGAACTGCAGGCTGTGGAAGGTCGGTAGTTCAGTGGTTCAAGACCCGGGTGCCTCATGACGGAGTGAGCTCCCATCTCTAGTTCCAGCTCCTGCCAACCTAGCAGTTCGAAAGCAAGGAAGTGCAAGTAGATAAATAGGTACCACTTCGGTGGGAAGGGAACAGCGTTCCGTGCGCCTTGCTGTTGAGTCATGCCGGCCACATGACCACGGAAACGCCTTCAGACAGCGCTGGCTCTTTGGCTTTGAAACGGAGATGAGCACCACACCCCTAGAGTCGGACTCGACTGGCTTTCGAGCAAGGGAACCTTTACCTTTACCTTCACTACCCAAAGAAGTCCCAGAGTGAACTCCTTTCCGTCCCCCTCCCCGCAACAGACACCCTGTGAGGTGGGTGGGGCTGAGAGAGCTCTGACAGAAACGGCTCTTTTTCAAGGACAGCTGTGCCAGAACTATGGCTTGCCCAAGGTCACCCCAGCAGCTGCGAGTGGAGGCGTTCTCCCAGATTAGAGTCCGCGCACTTAACCCCTGCACCAAACTGGCCAACCACTGTCTGAATCCTGCAAGGGCTTCCCTCGCCTGCCCCCGTCCCAGGATTTCTATGCGGTGGGATCTCAGGGCATGGAGCGGCCAGGTCAGTGGGAATGCCGGGGCGGGGGGGGGGGGGCTCCTTTGATGCCCCCCTCCGGTTCCCCCTTGCTGGCCCTCCTGGCAGACCCTCTTCCCAGCACGGGGGGGGGGCCTGCCTCGCTTCCAGCCCCTCTTTCGTGGCCAACTGCTGCTGCACCCCCTCCTGTGCTGCGTTTTTGGAAACGCTCCTCCAGTGCCTCATCCTGCTTCCTCGCTTGGCAGTTCCAGATCTGGAGGCCGTTGCCGGAACTCCCTCAGCAGGGAGCGGCAACGGGTGGGGTTTTTTGGCCTCCTCAGATGATCGGCATCCCAACTCCTGGAGGAAATGCAGGGGAAAGCGGCATGTTTAATTTTAATTTAGGGAAGCGTTTAGGCAGCAGGCTCACTTCCTCGCTGCTGTCAATCACGTTTTCTCAAGGCTGACATCAATTAGCTTAAAAATATTGAATGTAATTTTGCCTGACACAACATATTGCAGCCACTGCAAAATATAATTTATTTTAGAAGAAGAAATAATTAAACTAATTTGCATGTCAGTCAGCCGAGCTGGGATGCGGGGGGGGGGGGGGGGGGGGGGGGTTTTCTTCTCG